GATGAAAAGTTATAATCTGGTCTTTTGAGCTTTCTTCATTTATATTGAAGTAATGAATTTTCAAAAGATTGTGAATTAAAATGAAATTTTTGAAATAGTATTACTAAAAAAAATGGAAGAAAAAATTTAATTAGAGGTTTGCATTTTAAATAACATGTAGAACATAGTCCGATCATAAATTTGGTACATACATGAAGAGATGAAGTTCTGAGGTGATTTTTATGAATTTTCAAGAATGATAAGGGTAACATTTAAAGAGTTATGTTAATCTAATCATATAACAATTTGAAATTTCTGTTTAGATAATGGAATAAAAACTACTCAATATATTTATTGAATAAAATATTTGTTTTAATGTTCATTCAAATTTTTTAGGAATTAAAATTTTTATTTTGGTGTGATTTTTAGGAATGTAATTTTTTTTATTTTTAATATTGTCTGATTTCAAAATGCTTAACATCATCTCTATGGATTATTTGTTTATATTGAACAATTTTTTACTGAAAGAACTCTTTAAATGAGACTTAATTACCCTTTTTTATATGTTTATTTTCGATTCAACATTTTCATTCATCAGTTGCTAACTTTAAATTCAACAGTTATTCCGTAGAACTTAATTTTTGGCTTTTTATTTAAAGGTAGTATCATCAAAAATTATAATATTTTGATTTTACTTTCATATTGTAAAATAAAGCATTATATTATTTAATACTGTAGTATATTGTTAATATAATGTATGTTCTGTTTTTTCCTCTTCATTATATAGCTTTGAAGAACATTGCCAGTATGAATATAAAAAACTGAAAGATCTTTTACTGCAAAAAGCCAATGTAAATTAATATTGGAGCATGGTTTTTATGCCAAAGTATTTTTGTACGAAATTGTTCTGTGTCATATATATTTATTTTAAAAATTTAACTTTTTAAATCATTTTAATGCTCAAATCATGTATATATTGTATTGATTACTAAATTGCGACGCTGGACTATACAGCACATAATAAATGGCCATTTGGTCAAAAATATTGGCATGTATTCCTTTATACTAAATTGTATTTTCATCTTAATTTATTGTTATCAAAAATGCGTGAAAAAGAAACTTCACAGAATAAAATTAAATTTACAGCTTTTTAAATTAGTTTTCTAATGGTTTGTTTTAATGGTATTAGCTAATGTTGATGATAGTACTTATTTTTTTATGTTATAAGTTTTTAAAGCATAGTGATACAATTTCGATATAAATTTATTTGACAAATAACTGTTTGACTTCTGTATGTTTGTAAATCTAAGAAAATGATTAAAATCATTTATTTAATCAATTTATGAAATTAAGTGTTAATATTCTATAAGATTTTATCACACACACATTTTCAGTTACTGTTAATTTTTTGCATAAGTCGACTGTTACTCATCAAAACTTTAGCTGTCTTAATTTGGTGCAACATTTCAGCAATTTTTAAAACCAGCTTTTTTAAATTAAGACATGCGTTTAAATAAGTAAGAAATTTGATTTATTTTATCAAAATAGTGTTAATTCCAATTTTAAGAACTGCAAATTTTTCACATTAGATAGAAAAAATAAATGTATTATAATTTCCTAATTTATTTAGTTATTGCTTGAAAATATTTTTAATCCTGTTGATCAGAAATTGGTATCGTTTATAGCTTTTTTCTTCTAAGTTCATATAATTACAATTTAAACTAATTATGAAGTTAAACTGAATACTCTATTAATACTCATTTATCTTCTATGCATTTTGAAATAGACTGGTATGGTACTTTTTGCAATTTTTATATACTTTTAAATTTACAGCATTAAATCTCTTAGCTTCAATTAACAGTGGATAGTTATGTTGAAATTACATTCACTTTTGTTGTTTCAGACAATTTTAAGTATTTTTGTATCATTTTCAACACTGTTCTATGTTTCATACAAATGAATTTCATTTTTAAATTGTTGTACATATTTTTTTTGTGTGATTTAAAAACCTTGAGACATATTATTTAATGGTTTTGTTATACTTTTAAAAAAAATTTCCATCATATTTATATGCTACATTTATTTTTTGTTAATGGGTTTTTATGAAAGTAATTTATTCTGCTTTTATTTATCATTTATATTCAATGAGAGATTCATTGCATTAGTGAAAATTTATTGTCATTATGATGATGACAAATATTTTTTAAAAAATGTGTAACTGTATTGGGTTATATGTATGTATATATATATTTTAATTTGCACAAATATTTTTACATATCACTTTTTACTATTTATTAATACATTTTTACTGTTATACATTTTTAAATACTTGAAAGAATTATCTTTTTCAATGCATGTACATTTTATAAAATTGTTTAGCTTTCAAGAACAATGCTCATAGGCATTTGTTATAAAATAATTTTTCTTAATTGTGAAAGGCATTACATCTCCTGTCACAACAATTTCCTTTTGTTTTATTCATCAATTTTGAGTTTCACATCCATTGGAAATCGTACTGCTGATACCAAGTCATCCTGCTTGGAAAAGTAGATGCCTTAATTTAATATTGTGATCTTGGTATAATTATCTTCATAGAAGAGTTGTCTTTTAAAAGTGTGAATCTGTGTTGTCAAGCTGCTTTATGAAAAGAGAGAGGGTTGAACTGTTGAATAATTTTTTAAAAAACATTTTAAACAGCAATGAGAAGAAATCTTAGATAATGAAAAGTGTAAGAACATTTTGAAATTTAATCTTGTGCAATCTTCAATGTATAATTTATGTATTTGAACCCTCAAATGTGCTGAGGACATCTTGTATGTTATGTCAGAAAATTGTCTGTTAATAGTGTATTACCTTGATAAATAATTACTTAATGGAGTTAAATAAAATATTTGAATATTTATCTTTAAAAAAGAATGCATGGTATGTTACTGGGCAAAATTCTAAACGTCTGTTTGATATATGTATAGTTTGTTATACTTATTGTATTAAATTATGTAAAAATATTTATTATCTAAAAAAATGTAAATTATGTCTTAATTTATCTGTATCACATGATCCACATAAAACTCATAATCTTTGAAAAAGTGGGAAATCATGCCCTCCATTGTAAATGAATAAAATGTTCCAATACTCAAGCAAGGAATTTTGTAGTTTTCTGGAAAATGAATTAGTAACTTTGGAAGGAATTGACACTTGATGCGTTTTTATTTGTAGTGACTGTATATGTATGACAAAATGTACTATACATAAGGAACACATGGCATGCAAGTAAAATATCTAGACATAACATACAGCAAACCTGATTAGTTGTGGTCTTGGAGAAGGGAGTCAGCTGAAGTAAGACATATTCATATAAATATTCTTATGCCTTGAAAAAGTTCCTCCACTCTGGCTCAGGGCACCCTTTTGTAAGTGATACATTTTTTCAATCAGTTCTTATATTAAATGGTAATGCAGTGGAGTTTTTTTTTGTTTGTTTGTTTTACTTTATACATGACTCGTGTATAGTGTTGGCTTTTGCAAAGCTTTTGGCTGAAATACTTGTCTGAAGATTTCCAACACGTGCATTAAATATATCTTTTTAGCTCTTTCAATGGGATCATCCCCTTCAGTGAAAGGATAGAACTGCTTGACCATTTTGGGAGGATGCGGTTGTGAGCTGGAAAAGAGGTAAAACTTTTAGCTGCCCACTTGGCTATGGGGGTGGTCAAGCCATTCGGAATATTTTTGGGCTTGGGTCGGTAAGGAATTTTCATTCAAGATTGTTGGACGTTTTCCTGTAAGCCAGAACTCCTGAATTGGTCAATTTTCCGTGTCACTTTGTCGGGTGAGTTCGCCCGCTGTTTCGAATACTGATACTTGGAGTCTCGATGTGTTTCGTGTGGAGGTCATGGGTTTGATTACAATTAAAAGCAGGGGACATTACAACAGACGAGTATATTTGAGATATTTATACGTACATTTGGGTAGGAGGGTGCCGGCTCAAAAGGTGTCCCTCTCACATCACACTTGAGCCGAGTTCAAAATGATGAGGTCTGTTACCACATTAGCCCTAGTGTTACTTTATAGTGTGGCGTTAAAATAACTCCTTTCATTTTAGCAGACAGACGTGCTTAGACTCGTTGGTGAGTGAATATTAACAATCGCACTGTTCGGCGACGGACCACATAATTACGAACCAGGGTCGAAGTGACGTGGACAACGTCCTGACTAGCGCCCCCTCTCCTAACTACCACACCAACGGGATGCGATTTCAGCTCTCCGACAAGATTTAACGTGCATCGCTGCCCTACGGCGGGTCTTTGGTGTTGGTGATTATTAACGTCACCTGTTCAGCTACAAAGAGGGGCTTTTGGCGACGGATGATGTAATTTTTAAGCCATGGTCCGTGACGTGGACGACACACCTGAGCTGGCACTCCCACCTCTCTAACTGCGTTAACGGGATTGCTTTTGGTGGTACTGGGCTCGAACTCACATGACATGCCTGCTATGATCCGATACACCCCTCTGGGCTACCACCAGCCGTTGAGGTAATGAGTGAGAATCCTCAAGAGACATTCGTTTTACTAGAATTTGAGGATGGAAGAGTTTTCTGAAGGGACATAAATCGGTGGAATTGAGCAGTAAAGTCCACAACTTTTTGAAGTTATACTTCTTTTTTGGGGCGTTAAGAGAAATAGAATGAAGAGGGTGAATTTTACGATGCGCGCGCACCGTCACGGATGCGAAATTCCAGCTGTCCGAAATATACAAAAGGCAGGACAGATCATTACCGCCTTCAAATTCTCAGGAGAAAATATTTCTCTTCGCGCTTCCCTGAAGGGAAACCAGTTTGAACCAGCCGGAATCTCAATCTGCAATCAGATAGCTGGCTGAACTACACCCCGTGTCGGTGAACCTTTAGCTGCGAACCGTAGGAACGGATACAATACTTTGTCTAGAAATATGAAGAACGGGACGCGAGATCATTTACACTTTACGCCTTCGAGAGTTCTCAAAATATTTCTCTTTACTTCCCCGAAGAGAACATCCGGGATTAAACCGGGGACCTCTCAATCTGCGGTCGAATGCTCTACCATTGAGCTATACCCCGCGTAAAACTAGCTTGCTTTGGCACGGGTTTCCTAGGAACGCACATACGAAAATAACTTTGTCTGGAAATATACAGAACAGGACAGATTAGTCGCAGCTGAAAATTTTCAAAAAAGTATTTCTCTTCCGCTTCCCTGAGGGGCGCCTTGGTTCCCGAACCAGAAAGGGACCTCTCGATAAAAAGGAAAAAAATAGCTGGGAAGGGGGGGTCACAGTTGTAAAACGGGAAAAAAAATTGCTTCTTCTTACTTAGTTTTTATCTTGGGGGTGATAAAAATACCATTAGATCTTGACTATGGAAAGAGCGAAATAATTCCTTTTAGTGTAAAAAAATTTTAAATTAAGATTTCAAAAATTTTAAAAAATAAAATTTTTAAAATTTATTGTAAAATCTAGACTAAGAAAAAAAATGTGAAAAAAACAGAAAAAATAAGTTTCATCAAAAGAATTTCAGTATTGGGAATATTAAGTATATCTGTCTAAACTAGCTTCCAAGTTTATTTTATAGTGGAAATTGGCTGTGTGCCTTTATTGTGTTAAAATTAAAGTAACTTGTTTTATTTTTAAAAATTTAGAATTTGGGGTGCAAAAAAAAATTTGGAAAAAATTTCCTTCCCCTGAATAGTTAAATTTCCTTTTAATTGGTTTTCATGTTTCTTTATCTACCACTTTAATAAAAAAAAATTTTAAATATATTTCTCTTGTTTGTACTTTGATTTATGTGTTTCCTGATAATTGGGCAAAAGGTCTGCTATTTTGGTTGTTTCAGCAAGGGGAAATGAAGTGTAAAATTTTTTTATTTTTGCTTATTGCCTCAGCAAACAGTGTCTGTTAAATTGCCACACAAAATTGCAGTGATGGTCTACATCCGGAAGTAGGCGCACTGCCTTAAAAGGTAAAGGCCATCAAAAAATGGTTTGGAGAAATCCGGGGGTTCATGAGACGGGAATAAGTGACAGATCAATGGGCAAATAAGCGGGGATTGGACTGAAGCCTTTTAGCGAAAAATTCGCTTCTCACTGAAAAAACAAACTCATAAAGGCTCCAAAGAAACCAAAAAATTTTGGCAGGCTGCAAGTCAGCGTTGGGAATCCCCTTTTCCACTGATGATAAGCTCTTTGGGTTCCAAGTTCATAACTCCCAAAATGATAGAATCTGGTCTGTGGGCCTCCAAGCACCTTAGCAATTGTTTTTCGGATATCAAATGGTCATGGCCCCAAGGGGAGGTGGCATCTGGAAAAAGCACCTTTGGTTTTGTGGAAGGGACTTTAAAATCAATAAAAAAGTTGAATTCTTGAAGCTGTTGCCCTTCCGGGGGCCCCAAAAAGCATTTGTAAATGCAAATGGGGCGTTTCAACAAGCTCCCAACTCACAAGGACAAAAAAACTAGTGATGAAAGGGGGAACAGATATGGTATCTGAAGAATGGCACCCTACTTGCGGATCTCAACCCCATGGTTTACGATTGTATGGCCCATTTTGGAGTCAGGGCCTGCCCCTTTGGACTCTTAAACAAAAAATTTCTGGGAAAGGGGATGATTAAAAAAGAAAAAAGACTTGGGGGCCCATTGTTGAAAATTTCTGCGGGGTTTGTCGTCTGTTGCTACAAACAGATGTTTGCTACATTTTGAAACCAATTAAAATTTATTATGAGTGTATTTATTTTTTATTTACTTTTTAATTTTTTATAAGTTATAAAAAAAATGTTGGTCAGGGTTTTTGCCTCACCTTATACATTTACAAATAAACTAAATTCGTGGCCCCCAACAGCCAGGGGCTGAACCTTATTCCTGGTCGTTTTATGCGAAACCCCAGCCTTTAGTTCCCAAAAAGCTTGGGTTTTTTAAACCACCCCCTCTGAAGGGATGAAAGGCTGAGTCAACCTTACCCAGCCTGGGATTTGAACACCAGACCTGTGGTGGGGAAGTGCGGGCCTCCCCGTCCTGGGAAAACTTTTTACAAATACTCCCCCTTTACAAAAAACTATGTAAAAATAAATTCTAAGTAATCTCTCTCCTCTCTTTCTGATACGACATCTAAATAATATTCAAAACACATTTTTTTAAAATTTGTAATCTTATTGGAAAGTGCATAACTGCTGTAATATGGTAAGAAAAAAATAGGCGTTAAAAAAATATCCTATTAAAAATTTTTTTTAGAATGCGTGTTTTTTTACAATTAATTTTAAAAAGACTACTTTTTGGGGGGGGATAAAAAAAAAACCTGGAAAGAAGGCATTGAGATCTTAATGCTATTATAAAAAATATAAATCTCTGTTGGTCTGTAGAGTGAGATTTAAACCCCCTTTAAATAGAACCAGGACTACATTTGGGTTTTATGTATGCCTGATTCAAAATGAAAATAATAAGTACAATTTAAATACTTCTTTAAGTTAGAAATCGAGGAATTTATGTACACAATAAATACAGTGGTGGCCAAAACTGGAAACCTTTTTGGAAAAAATACATTTTTGATGGGGTTTTTTTAGGGCTCATATATAATAATTTTTTGAATTTTCCATAAAACTGTTTGTTAGAAAAATAATTTAACTAAGAATATAATGATTTAAGATTGTTTCATTATCTGCATTCGATCAAAACATAAAGCCAAATAGCAAAGAAAAAAAAGCACATCTTGCTCAGTTTGATGTGAAATAGGTTTCCTTCATTTGAATGAAGTCAATGATATTAAGTGTTTTAAAGTGCTAGATAGGTATCTCTTGTGTTTTGATAATGCCCAAAGTCGGGTTACAATAAGTTTGTCAAATCTTAATATTTTTCCACAAAAAGTTAATGTATGCATAAATATTGCCGCACACATAATTTGCTACAAATCCCGACAGCCTAGTTGGCAGAGCGTTGGACTCCATTTCCTCGGGTTCGAATCCCCGGCCCCTGTAGATTTATCCAAAGGCTGGAATTTTTGTTTTCATTATTAATGTATTGTTTGTCTAGGTTCTAGATGAATCTAGATCATTCTTTAGAGTGCATACTGGATATTTCTCGAATATTCGGTAAGTATAAAAGCAGAGTACGTCGCCAGTTGGGCATGTTCTCAGTCCAGTGTTGTATCGAGCTTCCTCGTTAGAATAAATCTAATTGTTCTTCTTTCGAGCTCCGTGACAATATTTTGCGTATTTGTAATAAGTATGTTAGTTTAAAATTTATAATGACGTTGATTTTGAAAGATTTTATTTTCTTGACACCTATGTTGATTTGTTTCTTCTGCTATTTCCTCGTGAGCAAACTGTTTTAGCTGAGAGTTTTTGGAAATTTTTCTTAAGTGAGGGAGTTATAGCTTATATATGGATCCGCTGATCTCAGAAAAAACGTGGTTGGGAGTAAATGGTTTATTTAATATTTTTGCGTTAAAACCATGCACAAACTGATTTTATAACCCTCTTAAGGTGTTTTGAATGGAACTGTTATTCTCTAAAAGGAGAAGAAAAAAAGACATCAATCCGTCCGTGTCAGAATCCGGGGGCATTGTTCATAAAATTAACTTTCACTCTTTGGGACCGTCTGAATGTATATGATTTATGGTGAATTTTCCTCCAGGGCATATGAAATATAGTCGATGGTCACGTACGAACTTCTCTTCCCGTTCGTTTTCAAAGCATGACAAGCACAGTTATTGTACAAGATAAAATATGTATTAACTGCACATAAGGTTATCACAGGAATAAAACTATAGTCTTTTACTTTACTTTATTCCACCCGTTTTACGTACTTGGCAACATTCGAGCCCTAATGGAGACGGACTTTTTTTTCAATTGGGTTTGTGTACGGGCTTCGAATTTTTGGAATAAAAACGTTCTCTCCCTACTTATATGCGGAATACACTCGAAAGAGATAATAGAGGTTGAAATAATGCTTTTTCGCGCCTATTGTTAGTTTTATATGAAAACAACGGATAGTATTGAGCTAATGGAAGTTTATTTTGATAAAGTAAAAAATTTTTATTCAAAAGATTGATAGGACATTTTTTCCTGTAATGAACTCCTGATTGATCAATTTTCCATTATCTGCCTAATCAGGTGATTCAGCCAACGTTTCAATCTACAATCGCCTTTTTGCGAAAGTCCTGGTCATGAACTCGTGTCTGGAGAGTCATGGGTTTGAGTCCTAGTGCCGGGGACCGATGCTCGATAAATCTGTTGAGATGTATTGTTGGTGTGGTAGGAGAGGGGGTGCCAGCTCAGGTGTCCTCATCACACTTAACCGAGGTTCAAAATGATGAGGTCTGTTACCACATTAGCCCTAGTGTTACTTTATAGTGTGACGTTAAAATAACTCACTCATTTAGCGAACAGACGTGCTTGGACTCGTTGGTGAGTGAATATTAACGTCGCACTGTTCGGCGACGGACCACGTAATTTTGAACCAGGGTCAAGTGACGTGGACAACATCTGAGCTGGCGCCCCCTCTCCTAACTACCACACCAACGGGAGGACGTTTCAGCTCTCGACAGATTTAACGTGCATCGCTGCCCTACACGGCGGGTCTTTAGTGTTGAGTGATTATTAACGTCACACTGTTCAGCTACAAGAGGGCTTTTGGCGACGGATGATGTAATTTTAAACCATGGTCAAGTGACGTGGACGACACCTGAGCTGGCACTCCCTCTCCTAACTGCGTTAACGGGGGTCTTTAGTGGTACTGGGCTCGAACTCATGACATGCCTGCTATGATCCGATACCCTTACCTCTGGGCTACCGCAGCCGTTGGTGTGAGTGAAAGGAATCCTCCAAGACGAATTCGTTTTAAATTTGAGGATGGAAGGGATTTCTGAAGGACATAAATCGGTGGAATTGAGAGCAGTAAAGTCACAACTTTTTTTTTGAAGTTATACTTCTTTTGGGGCGTTAGAGAAATAGAATGAGGGTGAATTTTTACGATGCGCGCGCACACCGTCACGGATGCGAAATTGCTTTGTCCAGAAATATACAAAACGGGACAGATCATTACCGCCTTCAGAATTCTCAGGAAAATATTTCTCTTCA